TCGAATATTAAATGGAGTCACCTGATTGGTTCTTATCGGTCGAATATTAAATGGAGTCACCTGATTGGTTCTTATCGGTCGAATATTAAATGGAGGTGGAAAATTTTGCTTCAGACTCCACAACCTGCTGACTTTCACAATAAGAGCCCGATGGTTTGAGATGACATCAGTGTCTCGTGTCTTCCTCCCCTCTTTAGTTTTTCTCTTATCTCTCACACAGTGAATCCTGAACACCCAGAAACTCATTTGGACAGAACCAACACCTGAAGGTCTGATAAATGCTGTGAAATGTCTGCAGTTGGAAAATGATTTGTTGATTAAATGAGGAGCTGCACAGAAAAATTTAATCATTTTAATTTTGTTGGTCAAATCAAAATAAATCATTCTGGAATTTTCATTGTAGTTTTAGGTTGTTCAAGAAAAAATCAGCTAAATAATTATAGTTTGAAAAGTTTGAAACAAAGAATGAAACGTGTGATACTTTTTAAAGTTTAGTGGTGAAATTGAGTTCACTGATGCGTCACCGACAGCTGTCAATCAACCCTGAGCTTTTTATCAGGCTGCAAACAAACACAATTTAAAACGAGCTCCTGAATTCAGCTCAGGAATCGTCCCAAGTTATGAGAAGTGGAAATGTCCTCACCTGGAAGAAGCAGCAGCAGAGACGCCACGGACTCGCAGCAGAGCAGCTTCATCTCTGGTCCCTGATGTGGATCCTCTGATGATGAGGAGGCTGATGAAGCTGCTGATGAAGCTGCTGCTGCGACTCTGTGCGTTTGCTGTAGTGCGGTGGTCTGTGAGGTATGAGGAGCGATTAGTGCCACACACAGGCTGAACAAACCTGATCCTCACATTCACTCTGTTACACTCAGCTGCTGAAACTCATGATTTTAAATGAAAACACTTGATCTTCTCTTTAATGATATATATTTTATATAAACTTTCATTAAGTTATTTTTTGATCAGTAGGGGGCAGTGGAAGAAGAACACAACACTGACACAAACATCCATTCGATCAGAGACTCAAACTTTTCACAGCCTCAAAATAATGTGATGTTTGATGTTAATTCACCTGATACGATTGATGCTGATGTAATCTGTGAACATTCCTTGTGGGGAAATGGTTTTATTTTTTATTTCTCATCTTTTATTATTTGTGAAAATATGTTATCGAGAGACTTCACTTCATTTAAAAAATGTGATTTGATTCCGGAAAATTCTCCCTGAGCAGCTGAACGATGATGACAGTCTTCAGGCTCGGTGTTTCCAAACGAAGCTCGTCTCAGTCTGACGATCTTTGTGTTCGTCAGCCAGCTCCCTCACCAATTAATAACTTAAGAGCAGCTACGACCATTTGTCTGATTCCTTCAACTAACATCTGCTTTTACCTTCAACACATCAGGTGAGGACGACTTCACTCCCCCGACACCCCCCCACTGTCACCCTTCACCTGGTGTTGTTTTCAATTTCAACTCATGTGTCCATGAATTATAGAAACTGTCTCTTTAACGTCTTTGCCACCTGTTGGTGACGCTGGCGTTTGACTAACGAGCTGAAATGGAGTAAAACATAATTTTCTGATTTCAGTCAGAAAACTCGTTCAAACGTAACCCCCCCGATATGATCTCATAGGCATGATAGGGTTGATGAGACAATACTTGTTCATCATCTTCAGTTTGGTGTGGAGATGGAGGTCTGGTTCATGTTTTTCATTATCACCTCACAAGTCTTTTAAATCAAGGAGCAAAGAGGAAAGTCTAAATGATGTGAGCGTTGCAGATATTTTATATTTTATATAAATTCATCTCCTCCATGTTGTCTTGTACTTTGTCCTGTTCAGAGCTCGATGAACACAGGAAGTCAGAGAACAAATCTGAGCTGCTGAGTAAAATATCAGCTCTGTTCATTTTCCTTCTTTTAAAAAGCTTCTGTTGTGTGAACTTGAAATCGACTGAAGGTTAATTGAGCTGCTTCTTTAAATCCTCGAGGAAATAAAAGTGAGAGGCTTTCAGGTGGGCAGGCGGCCAGAGCTGGACTGAACCAAAACCCAAACTCCAGCAACAGTGGCTGATGGTCTTTGTATAAATAACCGAAATGGATCGTCCTTCGTCTGGTGTGAATGTGACACAACCTGATTGAACAGTAGCCAGATGTGCGTTAAATGCAGCAAGATGTAGAAATTAACTGGAGAATGAACAGAGGTCAACAAGTTTTCTTCTTCCTGTTTCCTGCTGATGTTTTCTATTATCTCACCCAGTGTCCATGTGGTGGGTACATGACCTCTGTTTGTCTTTCAAATAAAAACCTGGATTTCCTATCAAATCCACAAACTTAAAATATTGATTCGCTAAACTCATAAACTCATTCTTTCTCATTTTCATCATTGAAGTTTTAGGTTTGTGGACATTTTTAGTTTTGCTCTGACCTCTGAGGTCCTCTGAGTTTCTCTGAGGTCTTGACCTCTCAGGCTCTGACCTCTGAGGTCCTGACCTCTCGGGCTCTGACCTCTGAGGTCCCTATGATGTTTGTGTTTCTCTCCTATAAACACAAGCAGCTCGTTACCTGGAGTGTGTGTTTAATGTTTAATAATCAGGAGGAAACGTGACTGTAATGTCACCTGAACGTCCACAAGAGGGCGTCAGAGTTCCAGAGCCTCAGTTAGTGCCGCTGACATGACGTCACATAAGTTTCAACATATTAGGTTCTAACACAATGCATGCTGGTCCTTACACAATGCATGCTGGTCCTTACACAATGCATGCAGGTTCGAGTTTTTGTCCAACTATGAATAAAAACTATAACATTATCATTAATAATAAACAGAAAATAACGAATCTTTATCATTATAGTTATTTGTAATAATAATAATAATTAATAATAATTCGCAATAATAATAATTTAAGACTATTTTATTGACAAAAACTATTTTTCCACTTCACTAACAAACATGACGTAATGACACGACTCTGCTCTCTGATTGGCTGAGCGTCCTGTCAATCGATGATGCAGCGGCCAATGGCAGTCGTCGGCAGGCGATACAAACGGACAGCCGCCATGTTGTGTAGCCGGTGGATGTTCCCGCCGCTGGACGCGATGAGTCGTCCGTCCTCAGCCGGAGGACCCGGGGCGGCGGCCGGGGGACCCGGAGCGGGCAAAGCAGGCGGAGAGAACAATGGCGGCTCCGGAGCCGTCACCGCTGCAGCTGCCGCAGCCGGTGTGAGCTCCGTCACCGGGTCTGGCTCTGCTCCTCCTGGCGCCGCCGCCGGGTCCCTGCCCCCGGCCGGACTGACCGGGCAGCCCGCGGAGCTCACGGCTCTGTTCGAGTGTCCGGTGTGTTTGGACTCCGTCCTGCCGCCCATCCTGCAGTGTCAGGCGGGTCACCTGCTGTGTAACCTCTGCCGCCAGAAGCTCAGCTGCTGCCCGACCTGCCGGGGCCCGCTCACCCCGAGCATCCGCAACCTGGCCATGGAGAAGGTGGCCTCCACCCTGCCGTTCCCCTGTAAGGTGAGACTCACCTGTTCACACCTGTTCACACCTGTTCCATCAGCAGGTACCTGAGAACCCGAACTGTCCCACAAAGCTGGTTCCCTCGGATAAATCACCATGGTAACAGTTAACCTGCTCCAACAGTATACAAGCTCCGCCCACTGACCGATCCCTTCCTTTGAACCATGACATCATGTTCGTAGACAGATAGACAGACAGATGGATAGACAGACAGATGGATGTATGGACAGACAGATAGACGTGTAGACAGATAGATAAACAGACAAATGGACAGATAGATGGATGTATGGAGAAATAGATGGATGGACAGACAGATAGATAGACAGACAAATGGACAGATAGATAGATAGATGGATAGACAGACAGACAGATGGATGGACAGATAGATGGATGTATGGAGAGATAGATGGATGGACAGACAGACAGATGGACCTATGGATAGACAGATAGATAGATGGGTGTATGGACAGTTAGATGGATAGACCTATGGACAGACAGATGGATAGACGTGTAGACAGCTAGATAGACAGACAAATGGACAGTTAGATGGATAGATGGATGTATGGACAGATAGATAGACGGACGAATAGATAGATTGATGGACAGATAGATATATATAGACGGACAGACAGAGAGATGAATGGACGGCCACTCTTTCATGTGCTCACATCATGAGGGAAACCTGAGTTAACGAGTTTATAACCAGCATCATGTGACCACTGAGCCTGTTGGGTTCAGCTGGATGAAGACATCCTGGAGTCAGAACTGCTGTGTACATGTGGGTCAGTGATTCTGTTACAGACACATTAAAGTTGAATTGAGTCTCTGAGGCGTGTGAAACCTGAGGACACCTCCCATCACACGGACTGTCCACTCAGAGACGTGAACATTTTCAGACACAAATGAAAATGTGAATCCAGCAGCTGGAGTCTTCTCATCTTCTGTGTCGACTGTGAAGAACATAACGCCAACACAAACTTTCTCACATGCTTCGTTGTCATGGCTGCACCTAGCGATTATTTTTTATCAATTAATCTAACGATTCATTTTTATTACTTGATTAATATAATTATCAAAGATAAAAATAAAAACCTGTAACATTTATATTTATTTAATTATCTTCTCTTAAATACAAATCTGACAAAAACAAAGTGTGCACTGCAAGAACTGCTAATCTGCCTTTTACAGTCCCATATCTCTCCAAAATAAAATGAGTGCAAGAGCTTGTTCCATCAAAGTAAAAGGAATCTATCGCTCTACATTAAGTTGATATAAACAACAAAATAAATGAAAACCAAAGTAAAGTCAAGTATTTTTCAGGAGAAACATCAAAACAGTGTGAGTTCAAGTTTAGCTGTCTATCAAAACAAATCTTGTAGTTGTATCAATGTCTGTATGAGGTCAAATAAAATACGTACATAAGTACAATTCAATAGTATTTCAACAATGTTTAATATTAATTATCACACTGAACTGGAAATAATTCTATAAAGTAAATGTTCTTTTCTCGTTTCAAGTCAAATAAGGTTTGCATTTAAAAACAAAATCTTAAAATAAAGATCTTCATTTTAGAAAAAATGAATAAAAAGTTTCCTCTTTTCTTCTTTTTCTTAACATGTAACTACATTACACATATAAACAATTCCAACAAGTATTAACAACTCAACAGCTGTAACACTTTCTCTTGCTCAGAGAAGTCAACTCCACCGTTCGTGCCAGGATTTACTACCGTAGAGACGGGAAAAACTGTGCAGGTTAGAATCTAATCACAGGTCTGGGTCAGTATAGAACGGCGTCTGGGTCCATCGCGGACCACTGCGGTCTGCCTATAGGTGACGTATGCTAGATGATCGTGGGTGATTGTTTTTTTTTTTATCTGTAGCTTGCTCTTCAGGTGAATCCAGGCTTTGTGCACTGCCACCTTCTTTACGTGTCGTCACAGCCCTATTGACAAGCATGAGTGAACTGTAAGTTCCACTACTTCCGATGCTGATTTTACACTCAGTCACTGTCACAAACTGAATAAACTCAGAGAATTGTTGCCACAGAAACTAGCTGCTTGTCCTCATTCACATTCCAACACCTGAAACTCGCCCGCCCTCCTGCAACCAACACTCTACAGCTCTATATCACTGTGGGGGTTTACCCATCATGCTTTGCTATGAGGGCTTTCCTCCACACGAAGTCTTCGACGATCATGCGCTCAGCTGGATATTTAAGTTGTGAGAACACCTCAGTATCTCAGTAATCATGAGAAAGACTTCAAAATGAGCTTAGATTATTCTAATCTTATTCATTTATCACCATCAGTTTTTTGAGCGATGCGTGACCTCAGTGGTGGTGAACTTCTGACTGTAAACAAACATGGTGTGTTGGAAACAGTCTGTGTTGAGCTTGGAGAATTAAAATTTGCTGTGCGCTCTCTTGCGTACATGCTCTATGGTTCTTAATGTTTGTATTGTCCAGGCCGACAGACACACCTCATAGTTTCAGATCCACTTGAAGGACCTGTCGAACCTGTCGCTCAGAATCTGTTGTTCTCTGTCACTGCTGAATTCATTCTGTCAATTATTCAAGGAAATGAAATGAAGGTTTTTTAGCAGGAATTCAGTGAACAAGATCAGATGTAAATCTAGTGACAGGCCGTCAGTGGTTAATTGAAACCTGTTGGTTCACTGCAGGTTCCTGATGTCACTGTTTCAGAATGTTTTTACAATGTTTCTTTGGTGATTTATCTTCAAACATCGGAATATTGTTGTAGATTTCAGTTTCACCTCCATCGCTGTGAGAATCTGATCCTGTTGTTTCTTTTTTTAATGGACGTTCCTCACAGCAACTGACTCAGAAACAGGAGTCTTCAGAAACTCAAACAATGTTCACACTGATTACACACAGATACAACATGTGACATAAACAGGAAGGAAGCTGTGTGTTTCGGAGGGGTTGTTGACAGATGCTGGGAGGAGGGAACCCGTGTGTGTGTGTGTGTGTGTGTGTGTGTGTGTGTGTGTGTGTGTGTGTGTGTGTGTGTGTGTGTGTGTGTGTGTGTGTG